TCCATTCCACTGTCTGTAAGTAAGAGTGTGTGTCTGTATGTGTGTGTGTGTGTGTGTGTAACTGTCTGCCTGTAACTTTGTGTGTATGTATGTGTGTGTGAGAGACTGCCTGCCTGTAACTGTGTGTGTATCTGTCTGCCTGTAACTTTGTGTGTATGTATGTGTGTGTGTGTGTGTGTGAGGGAGACTGTCTGCCTGTAACTGTGTGTGTAACTGCCTGTAACTTTGTGTGTGTGTGTGTGACTGTCTGCCTGTAACTGTGTGCGTAAATGTCTGCCTGTAATTTTGTGTTTATGTATGTGTGTGTGTGTGTGAGAGACTGTCTGCCTGTAACTGTGTAACTGTCTGCCTGTAACTTTGTGTGTGTGTGTGTGTGTGTGACTGTCTGCCTGTAACTGTGTGTGTAACTGTCATTAAACCCCACTTTTGAAGAAAAGGTTTTAAATAAAGTGGCACACTGTCCTGATGCTTGGTTTAACAAGAAAATGGAAGTTTGATAGCAACCTTTTGTCGTTTCAGATACAACGTGTGCATGTGCAATAAATGTGCTGTTCTAGCCAATCACAGCAGTTGGCTTTCTGTAGGAAATAGGAAGCAAGTTCCCAATGAGGTGCAAAGCAATAAATCATTTCTTAAAATGCTTAGCCAAGTAATCCTTCCTATTTCCTTTTTTTCAAATTGATCTTAATTATTTATCTCTAAGTGGGACAGAGCCTTTAATTATTCTGTTTCGCTTTGCGGGGGGTGGATTAAATTCTCAGCTATGAATAATAAAAGTCTGAATGTAAAAGGTACTTGGCGAACAGTGTTAATTTTGAGCACTGTCATTTTCACACATTATTTTGTCTGCTGGAGCTCATTCTTTATTAGATGGTCACAGATGAGCATGTTAAATTACACATAACAACAGCTGTAAAATGGGCATTGAGTTGTAGATCATAATATATTAATGTACTTAGGAGGCAGGACTCATGCACCATACAGACTTAATGAAAAAATAAACTATTTAAATGGAAACTAGATATAACATATACATTTGCCATTATAATATATAAATGATATTATATGCTTTAAAACATTCCCATATGTATAAATGAAATAAGGAAGCAAAAAATGCACTGTCAATTATTTTACTGTTACAGCTTTTAAAAGTTAATTTTAGGATGGAGCATGTTGCTGTGACAACAAGAAATGCAAAATATGCTAACCCCCTTAATCTCCTGCAAGATTCTATGGCAATTCCAAGTATGTTATGTTCTGATAACGCAGAGGTTTCCCAATTCAAGGAAAACCAGATTTCAAAATCCTTTCAACAATGGGAGCCCTACATACAATCCTTAGATATGCATAATAAATCTCTTATTTGCACACATTTCAGTTTACTATTTTTAAAGCGGATCTGTGACTTTATTTCTTTGTTTTTTACTTTGGCATGTCCCCAACCCCTCCCCCTTTCCCCAAAATTATCCTTATTTTCAGATTTAAAAGAAGGGTAGGGACTATTGGGGTTTAATGTGAACCTCAAATTCTTATTTATACCTTAAATTGAAATGAAGTATGCAATGTAAAATATTGAGAGATACTCACCTCAGTTCAGATTCAGTGTGTCATGTTCAGAGCTTCGAGGGTGTCTCTTCGTAACACTCATTTATAGTTCACATGCGCTCATCCTGTTGTCTCCTGTGATTTGCCCTGCTTGGGGACAATGCCTGTGTAAAGCTGACACCCTGGTTTCGCTCCCAGCATGCTGGCATCTGAACAGAGGGATGTCCATCACTCCATTCCTGTCCTGTCAGAATGACATGGATGAAATTAATGAATCAAATGGGGAGCATGGACATCAACAACAGGAGCCCAGATATGTGCCTCAGGACCATAGCCTCTCCAATGGATAAGATTCTGAAGACAATCCAAGAGTGTTGAGAATCTACAACAGGTTCAACTTCAAGTTCCTCCTCACCCGAGATCGGAGGGCTACTTGGTTTAGTGTACTTGTTACTGTAATGCTAATTCCAAACACGCAGAATGCAAATCCACCAGAAGAAACAGAGACAGATAGAAGATCCCTAAACCGGTCCTTAGAATAGCCGGATAATAGAATATAAATTTAAGGAGCATCAGAACAAGCCAAGGTGAAGGGAAGAAATACACAATACAAGAAACAAAGCCGAGTCAGGGGAGCCAGAAAACAGAGTAGAAGAGAGCAAGCCAGGTCAATACCAAAATTATACAAAAGAGTCAAAAGAAAGTACTATTGGGACACTAGTGACACTAGGACCACAACAGAGCACTGTGCCTTGGGCAGACTGAGATTTTTTTTTTCTGTTTAGTGGTGTGGTTAGCATAACCACGCCCCCAAAAGGTGCGAGTGTGCTGAGCTCTATTTTGTGCAAGTGTGCTGAGCTCTTCTGACATCATGGTGCTGGAACGCGTGCGCTGCGTCATAAAAAGGGGTGGGCGCACAGTGGGCAGCATCCATGAAACTGACCAGAGCCTCATGCTGCGTGGGAGCAGCGTTCCGCTGGATCAGAGCATTGGCTGATCGGCGGACCGCAAGGGTAAGTACAGAGGGCCTGACCGTTACACACAAGAAGTTCCAACAGTGTGGTATGAAAAACCATTAAAGCTAGGTAAAATGCGTAAACACAGGATTACATTTCCATTGGACACAAAAAGGACCAATGAAACAAGGCACCAGTTACATACAAGGTACTCGGAGACAGATATTTTGAGTAGAGAGCCAGACCCTATTCACTGCAACATAGGAGGGAGCTGCACGACGATGTCTGTTCCTTCTGATGGTTAGATGATTGAACCAAGAGATGCTGAACCTACTACCAAGTACTACGTAAACTAGCTAAATGTTCATCAAGAACGGGCATTCCCTGTGAGGGGAATGTTGTTTGAAGAACAGCAGGACTCATGAGTGGCGTTATTATGAGCAGTCATTTTGAAGATGGGAAATAAAGCAACAAAGGTACTTTTCAAGAGACTGATTGGCTGTATCGTCAGCTCCATTTGTTTGGGGATCGTAGGCAGAGACCTTACTTTCAGTACAAACATCAACAGCCTGAACGTATTCTTTAACATCCTCTTTCAGAGACATTCAACAGAAGTTACGTGATACCAATATTTTTACTTACATCTGGATGCCAAGGAACTCCAGGAGATTATTTGACCTAGTTCCCAGTTAATATTAGCATTGTGAACTGAAAGTCATAGATAATCCAAAACAATTTCTGAAGAAGGAAACAAAACAACTTAAAAACACATTTTTTGTGTGTGCAATAAGCCTGAATACATGTTAAGGGGGACTTTTATGTCACACCCAAGGCCGATCACCTGTGCGACCTTAGGTGTGAGAGTTTTCCAGACGAACTGGACAATCCTTAGATGCCTACCGCAATAAAGGCAGAGACCTTACTCTGTTGCTCTGCCTCAGAAAATTGAGTTGTCCCTAACTACATAGTTTCAGTCTCAGAAGATGCAGGGGAATCAGGAGTGGTGACTCAGGGTGTAAAAGCTAAAGCTACGTCTTGGTCTATTCCTTAAGTTATGTCTCTCTCTCTCATAATGTCATGAGATGCATACCCAAACATGCAACATTGCTAATGGGAAGACCAACGAGAGAAACTGAGATAGACAAATTAGCATACCTTGGTATGAGAGACACAGTCAGATTATTAGCCAAGTATTAGTATTTGCAAAACGAGAAAAAAAACGAACCGCACTCCAATTGCGCGATGACCCGGGTGCTAAACTGGACCAAGGGCTAGTACCAGCCCCAGAGAGTAGATAGAGGATCCAGGCACTCCAAGTATCTTCAATTGTATTTTTTGGGACAAGTGAAACACTGCAATGTTTTGACCCCTGAAATACACAAAAATCCTTTCAGGGGTCAAAACGTTGCGGTGTCTCACGTGTCCGAATAAATACAATTGAAGTAACTTGGAGTGCCTGGATCCTCTTTCTACCACTGAGATTACCAACCAAGGTCAGGAATACAGATAGGGGAGTAAATGAAAAGTTCTAGCCAGATCAGAGATGCAGATCGAAATATGTAGAAAAAGCCGGGTCAGGATCACAGATTCCTATAAACAAGACAAGGTCAAAACCAGAAAACGTAAGAAACGCAATAATCGGTAACTAAGGTTAAAACCACAATAGTATAACATAAATATAAAAAGGTATAAAATGAAGAATGGTGCTACAATCACCTGGTGTAGGTTTTCCCAACCACACAAAATACAGTGTAAAAATATTAGAATAAAAGGTGAGAGCACATTGTAATATATGATTTTAATTTATATTTAATACATCTTTTTCCTGGTTACTTTCCACCATCCTTATTTAGTTTTGACTGCAATTTAAGCATCAAAGATCCAGTATCCAACTGAATATTCACCAATTCGATCTCCACTATGCTTTATATACCAAAAGGCGCTGAAAGTCTGAGCCTACTATTAAGTGGCTCAGCAACATGTAAGTTGGACCATTTTGTGTTTGTCTATTTATTGTATTTGTACAGATTTCACTATGGTCTGCAATTCTTTGTCATTTTAGGTTTTATCGACTAAATGGTAATATTGTGTGTGTGTGTATTGTACACATATTGAGAATTTTATAGTGTGCTCTCAACTTTTATTCTAATATTTTGAAACCACAATAGGGCACAGAACTACTGTCAAAACAAAATTTTATTAAAGACACGGAGGCTCCTATTATGCATTCTCTTTCTTTATTATACTCCCAGCAGCAAGAGAAGGAAGTATGAGAGAATCATATAAAAAACATAACAGCCTGGTAACAGTGGCACCAATCAGCATCCAGTATTATCCATATGGGTGTGGTGCTCCTTGACTCCTCTTTCTTGCTGCTCCCTCAGACAAGTTAAGTACCTCTTCTCTTGCTACTCCTGTGATTTTCATACATATATGTGTATTTTGGGTAAAAGATTTTAGCATAGTGTATGTTTATGCTTATTTTATGCTTCACTGTTATTACTGGTTATTTAATACTGGTGTCTGGGAGTGCTGCCTATTAAATAGGGGTCTCTGGGACCCTGGGGTTTTCCCCCTCTCAGTAGTGTTAGACTCTTTCCCCTGCTCGTTTCCGTTTTTGTGTGGGTTCAGCAGGGCTGCCCTTAGCCGCTCACGGTTTTGGTCGCGGTCTATTCCGCGGTTTTCTTCCGGTCCGCGAACGCTCTTTTGCCGGTTTTCCCCCTTTACCTGACGGCCGCGCATGCGCAGTACGTGCCGCTGCGGCCATTTTGGTTTATGTCGCCGCCTATGTAAATTTTCTCGCGGCGGCCATTTTAAGTACGTTTTCGGCGGGAAATTGCTGCGGACCGATTCTGTAGGTGGATAACGGTTTCTCCTACCCTCCTGGCGCACTCCCAGACCCATCCTGTGCTTATTTATTGTGTTGCTGTCTTTGCTGGTCAAACTGTAAGTGTTGGTGTGGAGGATTACTCTATCCGGACACCCTTTTTGTCCTTAGCCTTAGCTAGTATATTTTTCTCCCTACAGGTCATTTCAGATACTGTTCTTAACCATTAGCTACTACTAGTGGCATTACCTTATTGGGTCCTATAATTCTAACTCTGAGTGGACTTGGGTGTATTATCCCCTGTGAGTTTATATTATTGCTAAAATGCAAGATCAGAATGAGAGACCTGCAGGGTCTGTGTGTCCTACACCAGGGGTTTCCCCCTCAGACAGGGCATGTAAGGATGACACCAGCCTCATGGCATCGGAGGAATTTCAATCCCTTCTCGATTCTACCATGGCACAATCCATCAACAAGGCGTTAGCCTCCGCGATGGGTGTCATGTCATCCTCTATCACACAATCTGTAACCAAGGCGCTGATACAGTCTCAGAGTTGTGGCCCTCAGAGCACACTAAATCCGGGAACCACTAATGTGGTACAACCGGGACGCAAAGCCTTGACGAAAAGCAAACATATTGCCTCCCCTCCAGAACTGCAGGTTCAGCCTGCAATGACTGACACGCCTCAGGCTGTCAAGGATGGCGCGATACCACCGCGCAATAGAGCCCCTGGCCGGGCAAAATCAGCCAGATCCTGGAAGCGGGCACTCGCCCAAGAGGACTCGTCCGATTCGGACCGGAGTTTGGAGGAGGAATATGATGATTTATGCATGGACCATTATAGTGCGGAATATTCCGATTCAGGGTCCGAGGTGAAATTTCACACTGCGACCCAGAAGGCTACGGCTCAGGGCGCTGAGCCTGCCGTATCGGGCGAGGGCGACGATTTGCGGGACCCTCTGGGTAACCCGTTGTTTGACCCAGATAACCTCCGTCACCCTCGCTCGGCGGAATGGGAGCCGCCTGAGCACATTGCGAGGTACCTCGCACTAAGAGTAAGAAAACCTTTATCTAAGGAAGGACGTAACAAGCTACGGGCGGAATGCCCACGGCCTATCCTTCCAGACTCAGTGGGAAAAACCCCTGACGTGGATCCCCAATTGGTCCAATTTTTGAATAAGTCGGGTTGGAAACCGAGGAAAGGTTTGGATTTCTCCCTTTGGAACTGCCAGGACAAGTTCCTGGACACTCTGGGGCCCATCACCAAACTTTATGAGTTAGTGGAATCTGCCCAATCTGGTGAGAATGACTTCGATTTCGAAGTAGCGAAAGGCTGGTTGCAGAGGTTAGTCTGCATGGTGGGTAACGCCAATACAGCCATGGCAACCGAACGCCACAAGGCGATTCTCATGAGAATAGAGCCCAAACTGGTCAGTATGGCGACCAATGAGCCGGGGCCAGCCGCTAAAGGCTTACTCTTTGGTGAATCCTTTATTAAGGATCTTGGGCTGTACGTTAAAACATTTACAGCAATTGACAAAGCTCAGACTTCTCTAAAAAGAGTATTTGCACCTCGGGTTTTTGGAGGGGCCGGTAGAGGTAGGAGCCGTCTATCCGGCCGTGGATTTCGTGGCTCATTTAGAGCCGGCAGAGGCTCCTTTAATACCCAGAGACCGGTACCAGAACGAACTTATACCCCGTTCTTCCCATCTCGTGGACGCCCCTGGAACTCCCGCGGACCGCGGGGGTCTGTCTCAGGCAGACGACCTTATGGTGAGTACCGAGTATCTCAATTTTTCCCATATAAAAGTGGGGGGCAGATTGGCACTGTTTCACCATGCTTGGAAACTTCTAACCTTAGATGTTTGGGTATTAAATACAGTACAGGGGTACCTGATGGAGCTAGTCTCTTACCCTACTCAGGTGCAGTTCCCTCGAGAACTAAACATGGCCAACGACCACCAGAAGATGATCTCGGCAGAGATTGCAGATTTGGCATCAAAACACGCTATTCAACAAATCCCATGGGGCACAGAAGGGTTTGTAAGCAACCTCTTTCTGGTTCCAAAGAAAGGAGGTGGAGTACGCCCAGTAATAAATCTCCGACCCCTAAATGCGTTTGTCCAATATCACTATTTCAAAATGGAGGGTATTCATTGCCTTCGAGACATCCTACTACCATCAGATTGGATTGTCAAGATAGATTTACGGGATGCTTATCTGACAATCCCTGTCGCGGAAGCGCACCAAAACCTACTGCAGTTTCAGTGGCAAGGAACGAAGTGGAGGTTTGTATGTCTACCGTTTGGTCTGTCCTCTGCTCCATGGTGCTTCACAAAGGTACTAAAGCCGGTGATTGCCTTCCTGCGCACACGAGGGGTCAGGTTAATAATTTACCTGGACGATATCCTTCTCCTGTCTCAATCTCAATCCCAATTACGGGTTCATTTGTCTTGGACAATACACCTTCTCCAGAATTTAGGATTCTTGGTGAATTGGGAGAAATCTGTCCTTCAACCCTCCAGATGCATGGAATTTCTGGGATTTCAAGTGGACTCTGTACAACAGAGGTTGTGCCTACCCAAAGACAAAATGATTTCGATCAAGAAAGAGATCAGACGACTTATGATTCGTACGACCATTTCCCTCAGACAACTTGCGAGGATCATAGGGCTACTGGCATCGTCCATACAAGCAATCTTCCCGGGCCCGTTACATTATCGTGCCCTACAAAGGCTCAAGGCCTCATATCTGCGCTCCGGACACTCGTACGAAACCTGTGTTACACTGGACGAAGATTCCAGAGAGGAGTTGACATGGTGGCTAGCCCACATGGAGGCGTGGAACGGACGGGCGATATTCGGGTCTACGCCAGATCTGGTCATAGAGTCAGACGCCAGCTTACACGGCTGGGGCACGCATTGTGGTTCAGTTTCCACCGGTGGCAGATGGTCCAATGAAGAAACGTTGCTACACATCAACTGCCTAGAGCTGTTAGCGGCATCCTTTGCCATTCGCAGCATGACCCCCACAGGCATCTCATGCTCTATCCTAATCAAGATGGACAACGTCTCGGCGGTGCGTTATATCAACCACCTAGGTGGAACGAAATCGAAAGTTCTGGCACTGATGGCTCGAGATTTTTGGCACTTTTGTCTAAAACACAACATTTCGGTAATAGCGGAATATATCCCAGGACGGGACAATGCACTAGCGGATTGGAATTCTCGATATCTTCGAGACGCAGGGGATTGGCATCTCCACCCAATGATCTTCCAACGTCTCTCTCGACTTTGGGGACCTCTCAACATAGATCTCTTCGCGTCTCGGCTGAACACCCAACTTCCTCGGTTCTTCAGTTGGAGACCGGACCCAGATGCGCTGGGACAGACGCATTCTTACAAGACTGGTCCAAGGGCAAGAATTACGCTTTTCCACCGTTCAGCCTAATCTCTCGGACCCTTGCATACCTTCGATATTCCAAAGGGACTCTAGTGCTGATAACCCCGATATGGAGGTCACAACCTTGGTTCCCACAGTTATTAGAAATGTCGATAGATTCCCCACGACTGTTGCCGGACATACCCTACCTCCTGACCAATCCAGAGGGAATGAGTCACGAGTTGATCGACCAGGGTCTACTTCGCCTGATGGCATGGTTCCTTTCAGGGGAACATGGAATCTCGAGGATGTTTCGCAGACAACACTCGGTCTCTTGGCAGAGTCTTGGGCACCAGGTACCAGACGTTCCTACGGGTCAGCTTGGAGGAAGTGGACTGATTGGTGCGTGGGACAATCAGTGGATCCCATATCAGCTCCTGTGAAAATAATCTTACGATTCCTGACTCTACTCTTTGAAGAAGGTAAAGCCTTTCGGACTATAAATCTATACAGGTCAGCGATATCGGCGAGACATATGGGATTGGATGGTACTCCAATAGGTAAACATGCCCTCATCTGTCGTTTGCTCAAAGGCATCCGGTTTGCTCGACCGCCGCAGGCTCGGTATTCTTCCTTCTGGGATGTCAATGTGATTTTTCGTTTTCTCGAGTCTTGGCCTTTGAATCACGAACTTTCTCTAAAACAATTATCAACCAAACTGTTGTTGCTGTTTTGTTTACTTTCATGTAAACGGGTTGCTGATGTCAGAGCATTGGATTGGCAAGCACGCGCTTTTGTTCCGAACGGAGTTTCCTTCAATATTTCACGAAGGACAAAGTCTGCAACTAAGGAGGTTTTCTACCCGTCGTTTCCAGACAACCCGAATCTGTGCCCAGTGTTATGCCTTAAGGAATACGAGCGCCGCACGAGCTCGCTCCGTCCTGATCAAACCCATCCATTATTCATCTCGTTCAGAGTACCGCACCTACCAGTATCCACTCCTACTTTAGCTCGTTGGATCAAATGGTTATTATCCGTGGCAGGCATAGACACTTCAATTTTCTCCTCACACTCCATTCGCGGGGCGATGGCTTCTAAAGCTTCCACGATAGGTTGTAGATTGGAAGACATCTTACGAGCAGCTGATTGGTCGAATGAGTCTACGTTTCATAATTTCTACTTTCGACCGGTACAACATATTTCCAGTTTGGTGGTTGCTCAGCTTTAAAATAGCATAATAGGAGCCTCCGTGTCTTTAATAAAATTCCCAGATTTTACTATTAACATGACGTAAAGTCATGATTTTATTAATGACACGGAGGCGAGTATTATTCCCACCCGCCCTACCCAGGGTGGTGTTTAAGTTACAGGTCAGTCATGGGACCTTTGGAATGACAAAATACGGTAGGTAAAGTGTCATACACGACACGAAGGTGAGTAAGGTTTGTGATGAATATACTTCTATATACTTATAGTGTTGAAATAACGTAGTGGAAGAGTTGGATAACTATGGAATAGCAGTCGCAAGTCTCGATATTACCATATATTTCTTCTTTTTTAGCTTGAATACACCTGTGAAAGTTGGCGGTTGAAGCTGTTTACTGTTGAATTTCCGGTTATGGTTTTGTTTCGGGAATTCGTGTTTGTTGGAATATTTTGGAACTTACACTATGGTCTTCGGGATCTACGCAGAAA